GCACTGCCGTCCATCCGAATTGTTCACAGCCCAGAGCCAGCTGCTCACAGTTGTAGTAGACTGGAACTCAGCGCGTTCGGCTTATCCCCAAGCACCTTCCCCCCGCTGACGCTGGGCCCTCATCCTTCTTTATACGCAGTGATGTGATATCATTGCTAACGCATTGCTTAGCGAAATGCTGTTGCTAGGAACAATGGTTCTGAAATAGGTTGAATTGGAAAAATACCGCTGCAGTGATCCAGGCACTTGTGCTTGTCCCCATCTCTTGGAAATCAAAATCAAGAGTGAAATTAGATAGAAATTATATTGGTTTTCAAAGTATGAAGTTCAAATTATGAAGTATGAATTTAAGCATCTAAAACCAAAATGGATAGAGAGGTATTTTGGGAACAAATGTCATCCCTTACTCTAGTGCAAACACCAGGAAAGCTCTCAGCATATTTTTTAAGATGAAAACATGGGGAAAATAGTTGGCTCGTGCAACTAACTGTTTGAAACATTTCTACTGACTTTTATTCCATTCCCAGCACCACAGGGTAAGGGGTTGTTATTCACGCTTCCATGTTTTACATAGTGGATTGTTATGGATATATTTATTCACATTTTACAGGTGCTTTTTTGACTGGCAGCAAGTTAACCCTGTCACATGTAGGACTCACATATTGCCCCTGTTGCTACCGCAACACATAAGGAGTAAGTTGATCTACAGCTTTTATCTCTGGGAACCAAGTCTAGATTCCAGAAAATGTCATAAATAACTAAAGAGTACCAGCCAATATTTCATAAACCCTGCCACGGGAAAAGCGAAGAGATGGAGAAGCCAAGAACTGTGCTACATGAACACAGCAAAGATCAGGGCTTAATATATTTACCAGAATTGAAGCAATGACCTAGTAATAATAATGATGGGTCTCTGGAGAAGGCAGAAGTCTTCTATTACTTAGTTACAAACGCCCCTCTGGCTAGCAAAACTATGAATTAAAATAAATGGCAGTTACAGATGTACATGAGCCAGGGCTGGGATGGTGTGGGTGCTAAGGCACGTGGTTGACAGCCCAAAGGTTAAGGCCGTAGCAGAAGGGCTCACAGCGCAGCCTGGCAGTTTCCAATGAATCTTTGAATTCAGCTAAATACCTTGTCACAAGGATGCAAAAAAGGAAACATATTTGAGCCACAGCATCCTGACACAAGTTTTAAAGACTCTGAATTGGGGTGTGCCTGATTTTGGAGTATTGCCATAGCCCGCTATGGAAAAATGGTCAGCTTCAAAATTTAGATCTGGGTCTGGGTCCTCACCCGCAGGGTCTGGCAATCCTGTGATGCAGGGGTTTGGTTAGGGATCCTCTTTAATTAGATTAGTTTTACTCCGCCGGTTTATAATTTGGCCTTGGAAGCACCAAGGATTGACCTTGTCCTGGGTGGGCATGGATTCATGTCGGGTCTTTCCAAACAGAATATTTTCCAAACAGGTCACACCAGCCTGACCTCCTCCCCCTCAGTCACGGAAAGGCAAATCTTGGAGAGGCATCCTTAGCATTGAGCACTACAGGCAGGATTAAGGGAAGCAGAAAAAAACCAACGCTGTGAGGTTCTGCTCCCTCGCACGATCCCTGGAGCATCTTTGTCCCAGAAATCACTTTAGACAAAATGACCTTGTGCTTTGAGGAGCTTGCTGTGTTCCTCTGGGCCAGCTCATAAAATCACAGGCGTTTGCAGAGGAAATTGCTATACAAGGATATCCGTCCATCTTCAGGTCCCCGCAGGATGCCTCCCTGCAGCATATTTTCTCCTGCTTGGTGCAGGCGAAGTTTTGAAGTGTCCCTAACAACAGGAGTCCTTAGCAAAGCTGCTCTCCGGTGCCGCACCTCTCAAGTGTAGATTGAAAAATGCCCTAAATTTATTTTGTTTAAATTAAATCCCGTTCTGCCAGGTTGTACCTGCCATCCGCATTAAATGCAGCTGCTTCATCTTCAGAGACTGTGATCTGTAAATACGTATAGTCTGTTATCACGTGTACCAGTCAACGTATAACTAGTCTCAGATTCCCACCAGGTCCTGGTCACTTTTGTTGCTCTCTGACTAAGCTCCCTCCAGTTTGTCTCTACAGCCCTTGGGAAGTTGTGCCCCAAGTCGAATGCTATATTTTAGGTGCAGTCATGGTGGGGGTTTCCAGACGGGTCTTATTGCCAATGGTAGGTAGTTTCAAGTGTACTTCAATCCCATTTTAACTGCCCAAGATGCAAATCCCCCAAAGTATTTAGACACCAAATTCATCTGAGCCCAACTCCCTTGAGCTATGTTTGAAAACGGGACATAAGGGCCTTTGGGTAAAATTTTCTCAAGTAGCTAGGTCCGATGTGTTGTTCTGTCTCATCTTGAGCTATTTCCACAATGCTGCTTCCCAGCTTTCCTCTCTGACGGTGTTTGTGCTTCAGATGGCTCTTCTCCAGTTGCATTTTCTTGGACTTTTCCAGGATGAATGTCTCTGTTTTCTCCCCACGTTTCTAATCTCTGTCCCAGTGTCTTATTTCTCTGTGCTACCTGATCCTAGCATCGCCCGTCATTTTAGCATTAACAGGCGACTATCCGAACATCAGCAAGACTCCCCCCCGGAGGTGGTGCAAGCACCTACCCTGGACTCTTTTAAGAAACATTTGGCCGTTTATCTCGCTGGGACCCTTTGACCCCAGCTGACTTCCCGCCCCAGGGGCAGGGGACTGGACCCGATGATCTTCCGAGGTCCCTTCCAGCCCTGATGTCTATGAATCTGTGAAGGAAATAGCCATTTCAGTCAAGATATTTTATAACTGAATATCCTCCCATCAGCTCATTTTTAGCTGCAGGATTTAAAGGAGTATTTCCAAAAATGCCCTCGGGATAGCTAGTTTATTTACAGAGCCCCTTTCTTTATAATCCGAGCGTTGCAGCACTCAGTTTTACAGTGGTTATGTTGTCTTCGGCCATGACATGAGGGGAAATGTCACTTCTGCTCACAGTGAGCTGTGATTTCTGTTACAACTCTATTAAGATATTACTTTGTCAGCAAAATGTAGTTTGATCAGCTCTATATCTAAGCCTCAGCTTCAAGCTTTGCTTCCCTGTGGAAAGAAACCACTTCCTCTCTCTAATCTTCCCGGCGGTGAGCCCAGTGCGGAAACGGTATCTCAGAGCGGACCAGACTCTGGATCCAAGAGAGATGGGCACATTCAAAGCATCTTCCAAAATGTTTCAGGGTATTTTAAGGTTATTTTCTCTCCTTTGTGACCCTAGTCGCCTGCCCCACCCTTCCCTCCATGGAGCAAGAGGCGATACTGGGGCCTTGGCCTGGGTTGCAATAGTGCTAATTCTGAATTCACTAGAGAAAGTATGCCTCTCCTCTGTCCGTTATGGATTTCCTTTTACCATTAATGGGAGCTATGTATTTGCATCAAGAGGGGAATATGTATCTGTAAGAGTCTGCATATTATCATCCCATTGTAACTGTGCTGCGTACGTGCTTTGTACAATAGTGAATGCTGAACAGAGCAAGATGTTTAGAGGTTAATATTCCATTTTTTTTTACAATATTACTGCAGGGGTTTAGAAGGCTCCTAAGAGAGAATGGATATATTGCTTTGAAGCCTTCATAATTGCCTAACAAACAGCTTGGCTCTTGTCTTTGGTCTTCTGGCAAATTAGGCCATATTTTTCATGGTCCTTCTAGGTGGTTGGTGGAACTGTCGCCCTACGTGAAGCAGTAAACTCATCTGTAAGAATTACTGCTACTCTTTCAGCATCTGCTATCAACAGTTGTTTCAGTGGTTTATCTCCCTGTTGGTTTCAGCATGAATTATTTAGAGGTTTACAAATAGCTACTGTTAGGGAAGCTGCAGGGAAATTGTTCTTTTAAATTCAGAGCATCTGCAAAATATACATCTGGCAAGGCTGGTATCCAGAGACCTAATGCAGAACTGTTGTATTGTACTCTGCAGGTAGAGTTACTTGTCCTTGCACGAGAATATTTGCAAGCCAGTATTTAATATCTGAAACTTGCTTAGAACCTTACTTGTGACCTCTGATTCCCAGGGTGAATGGTATAGAGCGGGGGAAAATTGCAGGCCATGATAATCTTTTCAAAAGCATCTAGATTTACAAAGCTAGCTAGGTGCCAGGAAGACTTTGCAAAGTGCTTACCTGGATTAAGCACCTAAGTCCCACTGGCTTTCAATAAAAGCTAGCTTGATACTGTACGCTGATAAGATGCCTATCTGCTAATAGCTTTGTAAGTCTAGTCTTGCGTTCCACTGGAAGCCAATATAGCCTAGTGAATAAGTCGGTGGGTATGTCTGCACATGCACTTCAATGTGCAATAAACTATTTTACTGCTATTAGTGTCATATAAAACCCCATGAAATTACACTAATGCACAGTAAAGTAGCCCACTGTGCATTACATGTCACTAAAAAAGTGCAAGCATGCTACTCTGCATTAGCGCAGCCTAACGCACATTAATTTAGTACTTCACACTGGAGGTACTACACTTAATGTGCATGAGAAAAGGCACATTAATGCACATGTAGATACGCCCAGTGGGACTTACCTTCTTAATTTGCTTAGGTATTTTTGATTTTGGTCATTGAGGGTCTTTCCAGAATGTCACCATGAGATGCTACTTTACCTAAGTGGCCGGATGCTTTGGTTTTTGGATTAGAAATAGCAATGCTCCCAACAGGAGCCTGTAATGAGAAGGTAGGACACAATTCTCACCCCTCTAATTCCAAAAAAAAGAGAGTGCACCTACATGGAAATACTCCTGGTAACAGGATGTGGCCAGTTTTGTACAGAGCTATGCTTATGAAAAATAGCTTTCCAGTTTTGACCATATACATTATATGGGATAATTGGGATCTGTCTGAAGATATTCACAGAGTTTATAGCAATGGTCTTCAAGGAACAAAAGGGGTTAGGTGCCCAAATATCCCTGAAAATCAATATGAATGATGTGTTTTGAGTCCTTTAGTCTGCCTGAGAACTCCAGTCCCAACTTTTACATGCACTCCTTTAAAAGACCAACTTCTAACCAAGAATACATTAAACAAAGTAGGGTTATAGTAAAAAAATTATCTCAGTGATAAAGAAAACCTAATTAATACTGTCCTAGTTAGAAAGTTAAGTTTGCAAGGTGCTATCTTGTATAGTTGGGAGAGAGATAAGACAAGCCTTTGGGCTTCAATTGCCTTTTATCAATTCTGGAAAAGAATCAGAGTCCAAGCTAAGTAAATGTTGCAACAATTGCCTTAGTTCATAGCATCTGACAAAGTAAGCTATTGCTTATGAGAGCTTAGGCTTCTCTGAATTAATTAGTCTATGCAATACCATGCTGCTCTGCCTTCAGTGTAATCTAATTATGTTAATGAATATGACCACGTGAAAAAGAAGTAGGCAGTTATCGCCTACAGAGCAGAGAGAAGTGAAAGGAGGGAGAAGTAAGTTAAAATGGGCCGCAAAACCTCTGCGTCTTCAGTCCATGGTTTTTGGTGCCTAGTAACATTTTAAACAAAGTTTATGACCAGTCAGACTATGGCTAACTCTTGACAATCAAAGGAATTCAGTGTTCAAGCTTCCCTTATATAAAGACGTACAAAACTTACTTTTATGGGGTATTCGTTCAAGGTCCTTTATAACACAGATCTGCCATAGCATGAACTACAAGCTGCTGGATCTAAAATATTAAGTTAATGAAACAGATTCCTCCTGTTCAGTAACCTAGCGTGGGATGTTAAGGCATCATAAATCAACCCTAACGACAACGGCCAGAAGTGCCAGCACCGCGACACAAGGCTCCATGTTGCATCCTCTTTTCAGAATAGGAGACACTGCTTGGACATATTTAGCCACATGGGTCCAGCTTCTTTAACGTATTTTAGGTGCCTAACTCCTCCTGAGGGATTAGATGGGAGTTAGACACTTAAGTCCTCAGATTTGGGTCTTTTAGGTGGTTTCAGCATTATGGCTGATTTAGCCTTCTCAGAACCATTAGTTTTTTTCATTCATTGCTTTCATTTACTTGAGCAAGACTAAGATCAACCTTCGGGTAAACTTAAACTTTAAGTTCTCTTTCAATAAACAGCTTTAACACGACTAATGTTAGTGAGGATTGTGCCTCACTCGTCTTGTTTTTCTTTAAACCAGATGGGTTACAGGAGAGTGGGAGCCCTGCAGCAAAAGCTGCGGAAAAAATGGCTATCAAGTCCGTTCTGTACGGTGCATCCAACCGCTGCACGACAACACCAATCGCTCGGTTCACACCAAATACTGCAACAACGATCGCCCGGAGGGCAGGAGGCCCTGCAATCGAGAGCTCTGCCCTGCACAGTGGAGGATAGGACCCTGGTCGCAGGTAAGCCTCCGTCAGCTTTGCAATGAGATTGTGTAAGGTGGGAGGAAGAGTCTTCAGCAGCTTGTCCTGTCTAGCCACCACCAGGCATTGAGTTGGCCAACCTTTGCTTACCTACGTGGAGGGCACGCTCTTCTCACCAGGAGAGGCCAGGTAAGTGGGGACAGCAGGGGAGACAGCCCGCGGCGTCATCCTGAAGGGATGCTGGTTGACGGCATGGAGCCAAGAGTTTCTGGATGTGGTGTCAGCTGCAGGAAGGAACGAAGCAGCAATTCCGGCCTCTCCGGCCTCTTTGCCACCTGAACTCTTCTGCTAGATTGACCTAATTTGATGAAAAGTCCAGCATTTTGTTGGTTGTTTGATTTGGGTTTTTTTGGTTATACAAGTTGCACACCACCCCCCTCTGCCCCCCCTTAAAGTAAGCACTACAGCCAGGATGGTCAAAAGCTGGGCATCCAAGCCTCGCTGAAATGAAATGGGAGTCAGGCATCTTAATTTAAGAAATGCCCCTGCAGGGTGAGGGAACAGTTTAAGTCTGATAAAGGTTTTCTAACTCAGAGCAAACAGACAGGAGTTCCTCTCCCTTGCTACTTTCTCATATGCCAGGAATCCAGCAAAGTGCAAGGAGTCAGGAGACCTAGTTCTTCCACTCTCTTGCTGTTTGCCTTTGGGCAAGCCACGTAGTCTCCTTGTTCTTCGTTTCCCCCTTGCAAAGCATTTACGTGCACCAGGAAGTCTTGGTCTGTTCATGTCGATAAATACTCTGCCATCCCCAGATAGCGAGCAGGGAGTAAGTGCTGTGCCACAGCATTGCATTCAACTGTTCCTGTTGGGAGGTTTGGTGTCTTTCCAGTTGGTTGTGCACGTCTTCATGATGCTGCTTCAAAGAGGGCCTGTGTTGTAGCACAACATTCACATGTTAGAGCTTTACCATATAAATAAGACCTGAAGAATTCATCCTGAATTTTAAATATTAAGAATTAATACGTAATACTTAAGTATTAATTATTATTATTATCATTACATTTATTATAATATGTAATATATAATGCATTATATATAATAATATCATTATATATTATATATTTATTATTGATTGTTATTACTTAATTGCTTAATTATTAATACTTAACTTAATACTTATTAATACTTAAGTATTAAGTTTTAAGAATTCATCCTGAGTTTTAAGTATCACAATTAATACAGTTTAAGATACGTGTGAGGAAGCAATGTCTTGCATTGCAGCAGTTTTCATGTGTGACTTAATGTGCTTCCCACCATAAAGATTTTACACTC